GTTATGTTCCATTGTGTGCTTGCTTACTTTCTTGTAATCCTTTCCAATGAAGGTAAATCTAAACATTAATTCCCTTCTGGCTAATTATCCCAGGACAGAGAAGGGAGAAAAGTAGAAGCTGAAATAAAATTGTAAGTGGAGTCACAGTCATGTAATTTTCCACTTAATAACCACATCACTTAGCATCAATTGTGGTCACTAAACAAGAACTACCTGTATCTAGTTTTAGAACATGTATGGAGAACAAATGTTCTAGGTTATTTTTATACTGAAATGTTGCAAAGTCAAAAGGGTGCACAAACTTAAACAACACAATAGCTATTGAGCTAGAAGTCATACATTTCTCAATATTGATGTGTCTCAAATGCTGCAGTCCTCACATTTGGTGGGCTATATAGTATATAAATAAAAGTCCTGTATCTCTTAGCAACCTACGCTTTCATGGATACATTTACATAATTATTGTACATTTTAGTGACATTTCTAACCTGATGTCCAGGTGTTGTCCTTTCAAATCAGGAAATAGTGTAACAAAAACAATACTGTGATTTGATATGGACTGTTTAAGTTGCATTTTAGCATTATCGATGTGCACTGTGTTTTACAAAACAGGGCTCTGTCCTAAATACATTGTTTGAATTACAAAATGTCAAAAGTTATGTAAATTGCATCAGTTTGGAGAAAGTATGACTTTTTGATGGAATAGAAAAAATGGTTAATGGCTCAGTTCCTTGCCCGGGAGAAAGGTGCATTGTTTCAAATATTTGAATGTTCTTTATTCATGCTTGGTAACCTATTGACTTCAGTAAATGTATTGGTTTGATGCCAAAAAATGTCAGCTTCCCCTTCCCCCACCAATCAAGGGCATTTTTAGTTAATAATTAAGAAAATGGAATGCTAAACAAGTGCAGTAATGACATCCATGTGCCAAGGGAATATTACTTCAGTGAACATACCTGAAGTAGAAGCACCGGAATGAATAAAGAAGATAAATCCAAAAACTTCATGGTCAACATAACATTTCAAATATAATACTCAATCCCATTCAATTTTATTTTGAGAATCACATGTAGGCACTTATATGGAATAAAACTAAGAAATTATACTGAAATGAATAATGATAGTTCACTTGCCAGATAACAATACAGATAGCTTGATCTTTGTTCTTGCAAATATTGCAAATTGGAATTAATCTATTGGAATCCTAGTGGAATATCACAAGTAGTAGAACATCATAGCAGAACTAGTTGTAGAACTTTATAAAATTACAATCTATTAATTTTATACATTCAGTAAAATCGATATAAATTTTCTAACAGTTTTCCAACCTTTTACTGTATTCTTTTTTAAAAAGTACATTACTCCTGCAACAACTGTAACTCACCACTTAATGTTAATAACACCTGTTAGATACCAGCTAGAAGGATGACATTATGGTTTATACTTCCTGTTTTCTGAATATCTACATTTGATTTATTTTGGAACTGAGTGCATTTGTGACGATTCTGAATGTTTTAATGAAGAGGAAATATACAGCAAAAAGATCAACTGCCAACCCCCTAATCTTTAAGGCATGGTACATTAGTCACCCAGAATAGTTAATCTGTGATGAATTCACATATATTCCAAGCCACATCCTAGAAAGAACAGCTTAATAAGCAGGAACATAACTGGAGTCAACGCTACAGGTTTCTCTTTGAAGATATCACTAGCAAACTATGCAGAAGAACAACATGCCAAATGTAGGTGGTGCCTGCTAATGCTTATGAGACATCTTAAGAAAAAAACATAAACTTTTACATTTGGAAAAATGGGCAGGATGGTATCTTATTACAAATTGAGAGAAAGGAGGAACTTCTTTTTTATTAATCCATTGATCTTCAGTTGATTGAATGAAAGAAGAAAAGGTAGATGGATAAGTAATCAACTTGCAAAGTAGTCCTACCTTCTATATGGGTACTTTCAAAAAATACTATTGGTGAATGAAAAAAATACTTTCAATATTATATTCAAAACCAGGTGAATGTCAATTCTCTCAGGCAAATAGGATAATGGGTTTAGTTTGGTTTTATTTCCACATTTGACATCTGCACATATTTTATTTGTAAGCAAATTTGATGATGTGCTTAAATAATATGCCCAACAAATCATTACTGGACTTTTAAAAAATGTATTGCTTAATGTTTTTATTTATTTATTTGTTTGTTTATTTATTTTTAATTCATTTAAAAATGTATATGGCTGCCCAAATCACACATGGTGACCCCACATTTGATTGGGAAAAAGTTCATTCAATTTTATTCTTTAAGTTCCTTGCCCAAGTTAAATACTGACTCTGAGCAGCATTCTGTTTACATTCTGTAAATAATAAATATAGAAGGAACAATATGATCATTTACTACAAATTATTCTTCTTCAGCCTTGAAGAAGCTTTTTGGATGAAAAGCGAAGTATTTTCAAAAAACCAAGAAAATCCAGTTGCCTTTTGAAAAACCACTTTTGGAATAGTACTGAGTACCATTACAGCCTACAATACAGCTAAAGCTATAATCCTGTGCATATTTACTTGACATGCTTCCTTTTGAATTTCATTGTGAATAAATTATGCATAGCAAGGTTTTTATATATAACAGTAATTTCTGAATTATATCTTTGCTCTGCTTCACAGGCTTTAAGCCTAAAACACAAAATAAGTATTTTGTATATTTCCAGCAGACCATGATTCGGACATAAGAGACACATATGTATACGTATGTGTTTCTTATGTCCGAATCATGGTCTGCTGGAAATATACAAAATACTTATTTTGTGTTTTAGGCTTAAAGCCTGATATCTTTGCTCTGCAGAGCAAAGATAGAATTCAGAAATTACTGTTAATCAATCACATTTATATGGCATCAAGCTATCATTTAGAGAATAACATATACAATAATAGTCCTTTCTAAACCAGCTCTCATTTCATAGAAGCAAACATCTGTGTTATCAGGAAAAAAATAAAAACAATATTTTAAAAGTCTTTTTTTATCCACACAGTAGAAACCAATAAACCTTGAATCCAGTGGTGGGATTCAAATAATTTAACAACCGGTTCTCTGCCCTAATGATTTCTTCCAACAACCAGTTTGCCAAACTGTTCAGAAACTTCTCCTGGAGTGGTGCGAACTGGCTGAATCCACCACTGCAGCTATCTTAATATGGGTCTCAGAGAACCAACAACCCCAGGACTGGAACCAAAGCTACGTTTTAAGAACTTTGTAGAACTCTAAGAGAGAGGGTGCAGTCCTTCTTTCTGGGTCAATGATGTTCCACAGGTGGGGCTGTGACAGAGAAAGCATGTTTCCTCAATCCCACAAGTTGACCACATTTAATAAAAGGGCCCTGGTGCACACCCATTCTGCTGGAATGTACATGGTGAATAAGAAATAACTGGGGACAAACAGTCTCTCAGTTATCCATGCCCTATGCCATGCAGGGCTTTGTAGATAATAATCTGTAGTTTGAATTACACTCAAAAGCTGACTGGCAACCAATGCATGCCATGTGGAATGGACATATTGAAAGCAGAGGTGGTATTCTGCTGGTTTACCCAGTTCAGGTGAACTGGTAGTGGCAGCGGCGGGAGGCTCCGTCCATCCGCCCAGATGTCATCATGGTTCTGTGCATGTGCAGAAACACAGTGCACAAGTGCTCCTGGTTCCATACAAGTAACAAAGGTAGGAGTATTTCATACCTGATCGAAAGGCACCTGTTACCCAAAGACACCTACTACTGCTCATATTGCTGTATTTTGAAAGAACTGTAGTTTCTCATTATTCTTCCAGGGCAATCCCTTGTAGACAGATTGCAATAATTTAATTGGGTGGTAACCATGCTGTGAGTAACAATCTGAAGGGCCTCCCAATCAAAGAAAGGATACAACTGGCACACAGGATGAACCTATGCAAAAGCCCACCTGGCTGCACCTGCCACTTGTGTTTTGATTTTCCATTTGGGTCCAGACGATCTATTTCTGAAATTGGTGGAAAAGTTTTTAATAAATAAGTAACTGTAAAGAATAAAACACTATATGTCTGGGTTTATTATTTACTGATTGGATTCCAATAATTTTTTTATGAAAAAAGCCATAGATATGAATACAAATACTTGCAATGTTTCCGTCTTCTTATGCCAGGTAAATACAATTATAGAGTAGATTGACAACAGGTAGTTCTCGATTTACCACAGTTCATTCAGTGATGGTTTGAAGTTACAACAACACTGAAAATAAGAACTTATGACCATTTTTCACACTTATGACCATTGCAGCATCCCAATGGTCATACGATTCACATTCAGATGCTTGACAACTGACTCATATTTATGTCAGTTGCAGTATTCAGGAGTCATTTTGCGACCACCTGACATGCAAAATCAATAGAGAACTCAGATTCATTTAACAACCATGTTACGAATTTAACAACTGCCGCGATTCACTTAACAAATGTGGCAAGAAAAGTCGTAAAATGGGACAAATTTACTCAACATTTTTTTCAATTAACAACATAGATTTTGGGCTCAGTTGTGGTCACAAGTTGAAGATTACCTGTAATATCAAAGGAAGTTAAGATATGATGATATAATATACTTTGACTTTAGTGGATTTCATTGTGACAGTATACTTTCAACTTGGTTTCCTTTTTGTTCTACTCTTGCTTACAAAATTTAAAAATCACCTACTTCCTGCACTTGCTAGGAAATTCAGCCCTAAGCAGCATTTTATCTATAAAAGCATTTAGCCTTAATAACACTCAGTTTTCAAAAAGATATTAATCTGTTTTGCTTCATTTCTGGGTGCTACTGTTAGAAGAAAAAAAGCATGTGGTTAGCCAAGAACTCTGTAATCCCGCCTCCCCTTTTCTTGAGGAAACAGCTGGAATGAAGAGCTTAGGGGAGGAGTCAGCTTCAGGGTGGAGAGAGAAGAAAGACAGGAGGAATTTACCTGTCTAGGTAAGTCAGTAGGAGGTCAAGAACAGAACAGAGGAGGTGGTATAGCCTGTTTGATGTGTTGGTGCATAGCAGAGTACGTGGAATTGCTTTCATTTCCTAGTGAAGGTGAGTTAAACTCTAACTAACTTATGTTTGCTTAAAAGGATAAGGTGCCTTACTGTATTTATTTGTTCTTTCTTGGGTTTATTCTCTCTTATACCTTTGAGTTGCTACTAAATGATCTCCTTATGTAAGTAAGTCAAACCCAGTACAAACTTTTCTTTACAAAAAATTGTAGATAGAATCAAGAAAAAAGTTATTTAAGCAGATTTCAGTTTCTAGAACTACATGTGTGGAATAACTAAGAATGTCTTATGCTTACTATGAAAAATTACAAAACAATGGTAATCTCTTCTGTATTAAGAAGAATAAGTATTGGTTTAAAAATACTGAAAGATGGAACTAAGTAGAAATGTTTTTTCTATAAGATAGCTATTTATTCTATCAGCAATAGGAAACAAAGGCTACTTTAACTCAGCTGTAATTATAAGATATTTGACTGAATTTATTAACATGCGTGGAAATTTACAATTTATTAGTTGAATGCAGTTAAACAAAAGGAACTGTAAATCATTTTAATTAGATATTAAGTTAGTTGGAACGGTGCAGATCTGCAGCTGTAATTGGTGATTATTAGAGACTTGTCTTTTGTGCGTACAGGGTCAAAAGACTTGTGCATACATGTTGGAATTCTGTCTTGTTCTGAGATGGTTTAGTAAACATGTCATTGAAATGCAATTAAGTAATGTACATGCATTCAAGAGTCTGTCTTTAGAACTCATTTTGTTTCACAGATAGGCAAAGTTTTATTCAGTAAGTATTGTAGTGAAAAGAAAATGGAGCAAGTTGGCAGAGTTGCACAGAATTTGCCATTTATCTGAGTATTTAGCAAATTATATTTTAACTGTTCAGCATCTTTTAGAACATAGATGTATTTTGTGCCTCAAAATACATCTATGCCACCGAAATTCAGTGCAAAAGGTGTTCTGGGGGACTGCATGGAACATTATGTGAACTACATAAAGTCCCATCCTATGTTAATCCCTATAAAGTGTAGGATGATTTTAGTATTTGTCTTGTCATATGACAAATTCTAGCAAAATGGGTATTTCAAGCAATCGGATGTTGTGTCATAAGAAACTACATAGAAACCACAACAATGTAATTGAGAGGTGCTGACTTCATAGTATTAACTCAAGCTATTGTGAAGTACAGCAGACAAACAGGCTTCTGTCATTTGCAGTGGAATGAGCTGAATATAGTCTTTGCCATTTGGATTGCCAACTTTTAATTTTTTTTAACACACAACAAAAGTGAGAGTGATATCAAGATGCTATTGGCTATGTTCATCTGAGTGGGCCACAAATAAAGCAGGTCTATGAATGATGTGCTTAACTAACTATTAGAAAACATTATTGGAGGAATAAAGCTTAATTATTCATTTAACCTTCCAATCTCTTCATTTCCCTACAACAATAACCCTGTGAAATGGGTTGCTTTGGGAGAGTGTGGCTGGTCCTAGCTGGTTTTCATGGCTAGGATGGGATTTGAACTCACAGTTTTCTGTTTTCTAGCAGGGTGTCTTAACCACTACACCAGACTGGCTCTCATATTTTACTAGAAACCACAGAAGCAGATTTAAATGTCCATTAAGGGTTATTTTCAAGGAAAGATACGATATAAGCATTCAAGTTAAATTGGCAAATTAAGAAGTGAAAATATGTGGACCTCTGCCACGTTTACTGCTATTTATTTATTTATTTCACATATGCCACCCATTTTTCCTTGAGCAACTCTTATAGTTCTACATTATTATACAAAATCTATTTCTCAAAATATTACATTTAATTTTACTAGAGATTGTGTGTGTGTGTGTGTGCGCGCGCGCGTGTGTGTGTAGGTAGGAAGGTAGGTAGTAGGCAGGCAGGCAGGCAGGCAGGCAGGCAGGCACACAAACACACACACACACACACACACACACACACACACACACACACACACACAAGCAAATTTATTTAAAAGGCAGCCCTGATCTGCCTTATGTTGAAATAAAATGCATAAGGATAAGAGAGAGTTCCATAACTGGTAGTAGTTTCTCAGTGTCATCTGATATGTCTTCTATGGCTCTGCTTTATAATATGATTTAAAAATGTTCTGCCAGGTATGAAGGTCACATGAAAAGGACTGATAACACTTCCCTGGTGCAGTTACCTCACATATGTATTGCTGATATCTTAAGCGTGGGCGCACCTAGTTTCATTTCCTCAAATATGTACCCAGAAAAAAAGTACAGCTATGCCCTGTGTTCACAGTTTGATACCCTGAGACTGAGACCTAGTATTCAAGGTTGTTAGTTAATATTTAATATAGCTTTTAGAACTATTCTAACTGTTAATTCTTAGTATTTTGTGGTGTTCAAATTTCTTTACAAGCGAAACTGATGTTTGCCACCCACAAGTAATGTCAAGTCTTGCACAAGTTAGAGAAAATTGAAACCACACCTTTCAGCTTGCTACCCTTACTTTTGAGTTTCAATGTTCATAAAAGAGAGATCTTGAATCCAGAATTTTTCTCGAGCATACCTTGTTCAGACTCTGGAATCTGACCTCTCAGTAAAACTTAGTCCTGAAAAAGACATCTGTTGGTATTTGAAGCAAATCAATTTTTTGGTGGAAACAAAACAACTCATCACACAAAGCTGTTTGAATCCACAGCAATGTGAATGGCAATAAAAATGCAGACTTGGGTGAGCCACAGATTCAAAAATGTTATTTAGGTGCAAATATTTTTATTCTGACAATTGAATGACACAAATCTCATTGCAGAAACAATAAATGATGTAACCTAATTTAAGACCCCAAATTCAAGTACATATCATGACTGTTGCTTCGTTTGCTTCTCCTTTTTTGCTGTATGTTAATAAAACCTTTTTTTTCAAAACAAAAGAAAACAAAAGCTCTGGTAAAAGAAGGTTAGAGTTCACTCCACACTGTTGTGTTCCTTCATGATCTGAACTAGTAGTGTACCAGTAGGGTGCTCTATCTATATTTTACTTGTGCCTATAGATGCATTAAAAGGACATGATAGAGAGATTTTTTACAATATATAAATGAGGGGTGCAATCAATGCTCCCTCTAATTTTTTTTCAGTGTGAGCAGAAAAGTATAGTGTTTGAGCGGCATATTTTCATGCCTGAG